AGTTCTTATATGTATAGTATAGGTAATGACCAGTTATTAACTTGAGACTTGACTAAGGTAACAGTTTATATTTAAATTAACTTTCGAAGTATTTGTATACGTTTCAAGTATGCTATGAAAAATAAATAAATAAAAACAATTTTAAAGCATTATGCTGTATAAAAAAAAAACTGCAGAGATATCAATATTCGTAATACTATTAAATATTAATACTATCGCTGTGATTAAGTGTAAGAAGAACACGGAAACGTCAATATGATACGGGTTACACGTACCTATTATCTATAATATATTATAGATTATTGACTATAGATTTTTTAACGCAGGTCACGACAGACGTTAAGATGGATGATGAATGATGATTGTCGAAATATTAAGTCTCAGATCATTTGACCGAAAAAAAATCTGTGGTTTAATTGAAACAGAATAGACCCCGTTGTCCATACCTAGTACCTATACGGTAATTATTAATATTAAACATCAGACATATTATTTTATATTCACGGCGACTTGATAGGCAAAACAACTACTAAGAAAATCACAACAAACACGAAATTATTCGAACTCAATATTATTTTTACCTAATCTTAAGTACAGTTAGGTTAGACGTACCAATTATTATTAAACGTATCAACATCAAGGTTATTAGCTTACAATTAGACTATATAGTTAGGTACATAAGGAGTTTTTACAATGACGTTAAAAAAAAAAAAAATAATAAGTTAAATTAAGTTGTACATTTCAACTTTTTTTTAAATGTGATTATTTTTTGTATGTTAGCACAGGGTCTTATACCTTCGTATAGATTTTCTGTATTTCACATTCTTTTTTKGCCTCCGTGAAGATTTGGCAATGGATTATGATGTGTTTGACTGTAATGAAAGAATTGCAATACCAATTATTATATAATATTTAAATACAGGCGTTTCTTACTGAATCTCTGAAGTGGAGTACAGCAGAAGTGGTCGGAATCTCTGTACGTACTGCCCCAGTGCAAGGATGCCCATATTGGATGGGGGGGGAGGTGCAAGGGAGGGACATTCGAAAATCTTGAAAAACTGTTAACTGTGATCAGAATCTATTTATTAAAATAGAATTTAAAAATTTAATTTAATATAGTATGAAAATCTGTAATTTGTTTATGAAAAATCGGTTTACCTATTTAGTTTGGCTAAATCAGGTTATCAGCTATAAATAACAACACGCTTTTTCCTTTCTATTCTATGGATAGTAAGTTATCAAATCTTAAAATATTGTATATTGCCACAAATACAGTAGGTATGTATATGTGCGTGTGTGTTTGAAAATGTTGTTCCCCCCTTGAGAATTTTACTATGGGCGCCCTTGCCTCAGTGCAACAATAATTGTTGTTCGGTGTTTATACTTTTGTCGTTAAATAAAATATAATCGTACCTATGTAGGTAGGTACACGAATCATCACGATCCCTCTTTAATCAGAAACGGTTAGCGGATTATCTCCAACGGATTGTGTATTATATAGGTACATGCGTGCAAACGAAAATGGGATACGTTGCTACTTGYGGTCCATCGYCTTTAATGGAATTGCAATAAGTGGTAAGTTATTTCAACCAAACTGCATCAATCTCTCGTCAATCATATAGACGCGGGCCCGACACGACTTCTGAAAACTGATTCGAATTCGTGTTAATGTGTCTATTTGCGATCGACCAGGCCACTTTTTTAGAAAACGCTTAGGTAGCCAAGAGAAATAACTATGCGTTTGGGACGTGACAGTGTTTWTCAGTTTCATTCTACCCACGAACTAAAGGTGAGTAACTAAGGTAGTGTGGTAGGCACTATGTGCATTAGCTTATAACAAGTCAATGGGTAAATACGTTCTCCGGTTGGCGATTCAGAATAACGTGGACGTAAGTCATAATACGATGTCGGTTGGCCTAAAGCAAGTATAACCATATTGTTGGCTAACGTTTGTTTTGTATTACGAAATTTTTTCGAAATTATCCCAAGTTAGATTACAGCCGATCCGGTAAAAAAATTAAGTTCGAATAATTTACAATTTATATAGGTACACGTGGTCATATCAGAAATTTTGCTAGGGAATCATTATACACAATGTACCGGACTTGTTTTTTTTTTTTTTTTACCAGGTTTCGATGTAGAGGTGGTAGCCGTCGAGCAGGCTGCATCCGATTAGGGTCCCAAATCAAAAATTGCTATACTAGTCGAGTTATTAATTTATAAATATATATATTGTATATCACATTTGTGTTGGTAAAAATGTGTAAGATATAAATTTAACAAAATCAAATCGATTAATTATTCTTAAAATACTTTGTTACATAGGTACTTAAAATAATCCTGAAGCCAACTATAGAGTAGTATCTGCGATTGGACCCTATAGTAGTACACGGGACTCATGATGAAAAACCACAGAACAGATTAAATTTATTAACGCTCATATAGTGCTAGTATTGTGATTACTGATTAGGTAAATCATAAATAATAATTATATTACGGTCATAGTTGAAACACATTGTGTACTGTGTAGGTGATTGTGTGTTATCAATTATCGTCTATTGTTAAATAGATAGGTATATAGGTACAATAATATATTATCGATAGGGACAATATATAGTGCGATTATAGTACGTTGTAGACACCTACTTAAATTTGCATCAATATGGTTTTCTAAGGAAGATGTGTTAAAATAAACAGCTCAAACGATATTTTTAAACCTTCCAGTCCATTACATMATAATATAATAAGAAGGGAAGTCCAAAGTTAGAGGAAAATAAAAATCTGTGATGTCTAATTCAAAAATGTGTGGTTTCACAGATTATTATGTGTACTTATTTGTGGTAAGATTTTTCTGTTTTTCATAAATTGCGCACAAATGAGTTTTAGGCATTTTAACCACTATAGAAAAACACTTATATAGAGATTTGGAGGCCCGGTCCATGAATAAATATATCGGAGAGTAGGTACTGCTTATATCAGTATTCATCAGTAAACTCTTTGGTTAAAAAATACWAATACCCCTCAGCATAAAACCAAGTACGCAACTCTTTAAACATAGTTGTATAATGTACAACTACAAAAATGTTTAARTGTTTAAGTGAAATAGATATAAAACAACATAAGTTATGTTTGTTATTGGTGATACCAAGATATTATGATATGGTATGTATAAATGAATTTGTTATGAAAACAATTACAATATAGTGTATAATATTGTAATAAATAAAGCAAGGACTTTCATGCATTTGCATATTTTTTCTGGTTAACTTTATCGTATGCTTGTTAAGTACAAAATACATTTCATAACGTTTATGATGAAATACACAAAGTTTTTAATGCATATTTTTTGGTTTAAGGGGCATATTTTTGTTTATAAGAGCATATTTTAAGCTTTTAGTGCATTATTTAATGGTTTATCGAAAAACAAAGCTCAACATTTTTCATGAACTAAGGTCAACAATTGTTATAAACTCATAAAGACGATAAAGATAAATTTTATCTTAAAATAATAATAATGGTTGGCAGTAATAATTATTTTAAACGGTGATACTTGTTCGCGCACAGTACACAATTTTTTACCTGAAAAATGACGACTCGTTTGCGTACAGCTGTTAAATTAGACTTATATTGCTACGTGTGAGCAAATTTCGATTAGATACACGTAATTGATTAACTAGTGTGCGGTTCTAAAGAAGCATTACATTAAAATTAATAAAATAGTAAATACAAACATAACATTCAAAAAACATGASAAATTTAATTTAAATTAAATCAGCAGAAAAAAAGACATTTTTAATCACGCTAGTTATAAACAGAACGTCCTAAGCCTATAAAAGTGAGAAGGAAAATTTTTGAAAACAATTTTAAACATTATTTTTGTTAAGGGTTTTTAGTAGACTTTTGCTATACTTTATGTACGCAAACGAGTCCTACGTTTTGGGTCATTTATCACATGTCTTAAAAATTCGTGTGCGCAATCGAGTTATACATTTGTACGCAAACGAGTCGCAAAAAAGGATAAATGTGCGCAAACGGGTATCGCCCATTTTAAAATATCTTTTTTGTTTTATTATGTGCAGAATAATAATTAAGAAGAATGGGTTCCAACATTCAAAACAGATTTCAAATGAATTTAATAATATAAATCTAGTTAAAACTTATATAGAATAATAAAATTAATTTTTTTAAGGGCATATATGACCGCATATTTTTAAATGCATATTTGATGATTGTTTAGTGCATGAAAGTCCTTGCTTTAGTAATAAATAACAATATTACTGTCTAAATTTTTTACAGATGATTCAGATTAAGATTTTAAGAATGCCTTAAACTTAATGTTTTTGAAGTGGCCAATGTTTTGTTTAAACAATCAAGATACTTTGTCAGACATTGTATACCATTGTATAATTTCACAACTACACTATAATTACATTTTCATTATTTTGTTAGAATCTCAATTGAAATATACAATAGTGATTTATATAATATAACATTAAATTGTGAATTTAACAGTTTATTAGAATATATTTAATTAATTACTTATAATCTTGCTAAAATGGAAAATTATGTATAACATTTAAAAAATACAATAGACTTTAATAATTTATTTAATTTTAATCTTTTATGTTAGTGTTCTATTAAAATATTTAATGCTATAATTTATTATTATAAATAAATATTATATAATTGAGTAATAAAAATAACTTTGCACGAAAATAATTAGGTACCTAATTAGATTAGAATCTTATAATATGAAACTAGTTATAGGCTATTAAACTATAACTACGAAATAGTAATGTACAAGTAAGTACTTAACATTTGACAATTAATATTTTCCAAGTAAAACATAATATTTAGATTATGGTAAAAAACTTGTTATCTAATATTGTATATATATATATAAACAAATAATGATATAAATAAAAATGGTTTTGATGGTAAAAATATTACAATATAAAAATTTAAAAAATAATAACTTCTTAATTATAATATCATGAACTTAATAAATAGTAATAACATTATATTTTTTTAAAACAAATTTCCTTAGACTAACCACAATATTATCTAAACATTTAGTGAAAAATTCGATAGAAATGTAAAAATCACAGATGTCCTGTCGTTCACGATCCATTATATTATATTATATTTAAGGTAAAGAGTCGTTACATATATATTTTTTTTTATGTATTATATTATGTACAGTAAAATGAAAACTTGTTTTTTAATGAATAGTGAGACTGTCTATACGTCGAGTAGACCACTCGCGCACACAAACCACACAAACACATATTCGAGGAACAAAAAAAAATGTAAAAAATATTTATATATAATATATTTATAGTACAATAATAATGATTGTTTCAAGCGAGACACACAGACAGTTGTAGGGAAAGACTGTAAATATATAATTTTTAATATAATCATTAGGTAGGTATACTATAACGCAACGTCGGCAGGCGCCGCTTTGAAACTGGCTCTTCGTTTGGGATTCCGACGCAACGTGCCTAGAACGTTCATCATCTCGTTGACGACGGGCTGAGGTTCATGTTTTTTGACCGGAATCTGTTTCTGAAACAGTAGAAACCAAACAATGTTTCACTAATATAATAATATTAACTAATCGCGACAAACAGAATTTCGAATACGAATATCACCCAACGTTGTAGACGGTATTCATTAATTTTTATAACGGATCGAGATTTTACCTCCTTGTCCGTTGCTTTTAGACTGAAACGTCCTCCTTTGATCTGATTGATTATCGCGTCAATGGCACCTGAAACATAATAACAGCGTTACAAATCACGATCGATCGTTATATTTTAATAATAACTATTGTTTTCCGAACTTTACCCTCTGCACTTCTGCAGTGGTAGGCATATAGCATAGTCTGCACAGGTTACTTACCGTTCTGCACTTGAGGGCCCTTGGGAGTAGCCATTGGCAGTCCTAAGTAATTCCCTAAATCTTCAATTGCGTTGGAGTTGTGGTTCAGCGAGCTAACCGTTTTCAGCTTGATGCCACCGCTCGTACCCGCCGACGCGATCGGTGGAGGGGGTGGAGGTGGTGCTGGTGGTGCTGGTGGTGGTGGTGGCGGTGGGGGTCCGCACTGGGGCGGCGCGGCCGCGGTTTTGGTTTCTCGAAGTTGTTTACTGAGTTCTTCAACTGAAAACGTAGGTAGAATGTATATTTTTTTTTTACACTCTGGCAATTTATCCATTGCGTGTATAAAATAGTTGAGTTTTTCAACGATAACGAAGTGAGAAATCCACATCATCTAAATTTGTTATTTTTGCCCCATACCGACATGCAAAAACAATTTCCCACAAAGGTTTGTTGTACATTTCAATGGAAATAATGATTTAAGTGAAGCACCAATCATATGAAATAAATAGAAAAACAATTGTTGTTTTAAAAATTATTCATAGCTCATAACCATTGTCTTTAGATAAATGTATTATTGATATTGCTTTAAGCTATAATAATAGTATTATTTGGAAAAATGAGAAAGCATAGATACATGTCTCAAAAATAATTTTTAATGTTTTTTATTAGTGTCGTATCATTATAGCTTTAAAATCATTTTACTATTGCTAGTAACACTTTTTTTTGGTACGTTTCACAYGTGCGAGAGACAAACATAGTATAGAAAATCTATGTACAATACCTTTAAAAAAATGTTTCATAAATTGACTGATGACTATAAAAATGAGTATGCAATAGCTAAATTCAAAAATAATCATAAAACTGTATAGAAGTAGAAGATATATTTTACTAATTATTAATTATTGAAATAATTTTTATACCACCATTTATTTTTTATTTTTTTAATATTATAATATTAATAATTTTACTTTGTGACGAGTTTTTAAATATGAATAGTATAGATAATAAATAATAATAAATTAATATAATAATATTATATATTACCCTGAGATTCAGCAATGTCAGCTTTTTGTTGAGAACATAGTAATTCTGCTTCGATTAACTTCAACTTCTCTTCGTACAATTCGATTTGTTCGGATTCACTTTGAGATTCCAACTTTTCCTGAAAAAATCCATATTTAATAGAAAAAACAATAATTAATACAATGAGTATACGATATATTATCTCATCACAGTTTTACTCACTTGTAAATATTTTATTTGTTCCATGTGCTCTTGCCTCTCTTGGCTTAGCGTTCTTTGTAATTGTTCCACCTCAAACAATAGTTTCATTATTTTTTCGTCCGACGCAGCATCCATCATCAACAGCTGACTTTGTCTGGCTAACACATCCCTCTCGGATTTTACCTGTAAACTTTTTGATTAAAACAAAATGTCTACAAATTATTATTTTTAAGCCAACTGACTTTGTTCGCATCACTTCGTATCTTTACGCCTTCTTCTTTTTCTCTCTTATATTGTTGGTGTAACACAGTCGTCTCTTCGACTACTTTACGGCTAACTGTTTCCAAATTATCGTGTTTCATTTTTAATTCCTTAAAGAGTAGACAAAAAAATGGTTAAGTAATTATCGATTTTTTAAAAACTACAACAATCAAATCGAACAAAAGAAATTAAGTACAACAATGGTTTGATGTGTGCAATTGAAATATACAAACATAATTTTTCTATTAATCTAATAAATATCGGCCATTAGTTGTTAATTATTTTAATATTTACATTTTTTTTTCCTAATGTGTAAAGATTCTTACGAGTAGGTATATTATTTTAAATTGAATCGAAAAATATAAACTTAAGTAGCGGAACATTGTACAATTTGATGAAATATTATTATTACAAAATACGGGTGTAATTACTTTAAGTTCTTGTTCGGCCCGTTTTCGCCCCCTACGCTCTTCTTCCAGTTCAGAAGTCAAGTCTACCGTCTGCTCCTGGGCTTCAAACTCTTGTAGTTTGATTTTATTTAATTCTGCTTGTAGCCTCGAAACTTCTTGAGTAAGCTCTACACAAACAAATTACATACATCCAACATTACATGTTTCATTGCTATCGAACAGTATTAAACCTTTATACCTTTGACAGTTTTCCGTAGTTCTTCCATTTCGGTGTCGTTGTTGTCCGCATCGTTGTCATTACCGTCCGTGTCATCTGCCAAGTCGTCCAACGTGGACGGCGCCACCGACATAACTTTTTGCATTAAAGCAGAGCTCCGTCTTTTCAGTTCACGATTTTGTTTATACCACTATGTTATATAGAGACAGGAGTGTATCAATTAAAATCTAATTGAAGCAGTTGCGGTGCGGTTGATTAACGTTTAATTATTGTATAATTTACCTGCGAAGCTCGTTCCATCGCCTTTTGCAACGTAGTTGTCTCGAGTTCGTATTGTTGTTTTAATTGATCATATTCTTTGTACATCGCTTCGGAAACTATAATATATATACGCACAAAATAGCATGATTGAATTATATATATATTATTGACAATAACCAAACACTCGACATTAAAAAATACTATATATATTGTATACGTACGATTCCTCAGCTGAGAGAGTTGTAAGGTCCTTTCCGATAAGTCTTTATTCGACAGTTCGAGATTGGCGCGCAGTTTCGCCACTTGGCGTTCCATGTCAGACTTTTCTCTCAACACTAAACAATAAACAATCGTCAATGTCGAAGCAATATCGATTTATTTCAATTACACCTATATATAGTGATGTGCGTTTCGAACGATCTGGACGAGTAATAATAATAATAACCTACACACAATTTTATAACATATAGAGATATGTATCCGACGTTTTTCTTAGCCTGAGTTTTAAAAAGGAAATTTTTACTTTTTCAGAAAATGTATTACCAATTCAAAATGTATCTGGGGCGGTCACATGTCGTTACAATAATGCTGATTGTTAATAATCATGAAACTTAATAGAAAATTAGATAGATACATATTATCTATATATGCAACATAATTGCGTATTATACTTCAATAATATGATTGCAATTTGCAGTTTATATACAGCCGAAATACGTATAATCAAAAATCAAAGATAACATTTTTAAAAACAAATCAATATTCTTTATAAAGTTGATACATATTTACATTAAACACATACATTGTGATATATTTTAATTTTTTGAACTCGCATATTATTGTATGCATATATATATTCTACCACGTAAGACGCTTCCTATAATATGCTGATATCTTTCTATTACGTATAATATACGATTTGTGTCGTCGTGGTTAAAATATACATATCAAAAATCGATGAGACATCCTAATAAAACGGAATTCTTCCGCGGTGGGAAATTACATGGCTATGTATATAGAGTAGGTACTCACGTTTTTGAGACTGAATCAACAGACTCTTTCGCTTCGCCTCCGTTTCGTCATATTTGTTCTTCCACTTGTTCTCGGCGGTTGTCACAGGACTGCTGTTGGTGTTGCTGTTCAGGACAGTCGAAGATTTGACCGAAAATCTGGGCGGAGTGTTGTCCGGTAGCGGTGGCGGAAGCATTGGTTTGGCACCGATTGGCTTGGGTGGATGTACGGATACTGCTGGCGAGTGCTGTGACAATTTGACCTCACCGAACGACGTTTTCGACGTGGTTTCCTGAGGTGATTTTACAGCGAATTTTGATGCAACTTCCGCAACCGGCGACGACTTTGAGGCGACGAACCGGTTGTGCACTGGCACCTGCGCGGCGGTCATGTGCTTATTGCCGTGGCCGGGCGAACCATTTATGTTCCTCGTCATCTCGTTCGCTAGATAACTCTGCAGAAAACTGTTGTTTTTGGTCGCAACCGGCTTGATGCTGCTGTTGCAGTCTTCCGGTGCGTCCGGCTCTTCGCGAATCGTCTTGAACCGTCCACCGCCACCGTTTTGCGTCTGGAAATTCGACATTTGGTGGTGATGGAGATGGTTGTTGTTATTGTTATTGTTTTTGCTGTTCAGACTTGACGATACCGTGGAATCGGATTTCCCGTAACTCAGCCCGGGCGGATTGTACGGGACCGAACCGTTGTTCTGGCTGAACTTGTTCCGAAGGTTTTGCACGCTCATCATGTGTAGTCGAATATTGTGCTCTTGCCGACAGGAAACGCCTGAAAACAAAAACAATAAAATTATACTGTTAGGTTAAACAGAATTTTGAAACAATTAATTTTWAAAATTAGAATGCATAATATACCTCTACAGTATAGTTGTTATACCAATAGACGTTATTATAACTTACAAATAAAACTGTTGTATAATTCCTATACCTTTTTAAATTATTATACCAGTTTAACTTTATATACTTTTAATATAGGAGCTCGCTTTATTTGCAATATAACTTCATTAGGTGTACTTATTAGTCTAGGACTAGGATTTTATGGCAAATGCTTCTTTTTTATATATATGAGATAGAATTTTTACACATAAATTCGTTTTACGTCATTCTCATTCTATAAAAACCAATTTATTTTTGCTTTTTTCAGTTATTTTAGGTATGGTATTTGTATATTATGTTAAATATGTTATAGTAATAAAAAAATACGSAATACGCAATACGGAYTAAATGATTTAATTGCACGGTTTTCTAAATGTATAAAAATATTATGTCAGACAATAAAGTCATTTCACTACTGAAAATCTTGTCAAATAAATATGGTAGTATGAATTATTTTTATAATTTGRTTTAGTTTTTAAATTTTTTTATTCAGCCTTACAACTAATTCATATTAATATTTGGTAATTTTTTATTTTTGCTTTTTTTTAAAAAATAAATAATATGCTTCATTTTAGCTTTAAAAAAAATCACTCTTCATAAAAAACAGATGAATAGGTCACTATTATGTGCGCATACTTATACCTATACATAGTATAGGCTGTAAAGTATATAAAACTAACGCCGTTTCGTTATAATATATATTGATGAAATTTTTTACAACGAGCTATTGTCGCCACTCGTACCTGGCGAAACTCGTGTAAATTACAAAAATAAATAGATACAAATTGGAACCCGAGTGAAAATGAAATTGTATAATATATATTATACTATTTCGATCTGCGTTCAGACTTGAAAGACATATACGCACAAGTGCAATATTAAATCTTATAATACACAACGATCGTTCGACAAAGGTTCGTGTATAGTTTTATGGTCAACACTCGTGACATGTCATATTGCTGTGCAATATACCTCATCTGTTAATATGTATATGTAATATATTGATATATACATATTATTATGTGTACGTGCGGGTCGTAAAATTGTATAAATAAATAAATAACGGCGGATAGCGCGAGACATGTTGAGTACCTGTAATAAGTATTCAGATGTGAACACGAAAAACGTTTTGATTAGTACCTAAACATTATTCTAACAAACATCAAAAGTGGCTATTCGGCAAACAGACAAACATTGTAATATATAATAATATACCTATGTCACTGCTGTAGGTTGTGTTTATGGCACGTGACTATTAATGTATCACCGGCTACTTTATCGTAATAGAACCATATTATAGGTACATTACGTAATTCTGCAGAGAATTATTTATTATCATAATATTATGAATTATCTATATACATACATTTCGAAATTATGTCAACTTTTGTTTTAAAATATTTTGCGTACGAATATCGAAAACGCGCCGTTCGGCTACCTACGCATGATATAATATAGCAATACATTTATCATGTTTTGTGTCGGATATTATATTATTATGATAGAATAATACAGAAATCGGKCGTAGGTACCTACTATATAAYACACATGTGGGCACCATTACGCCAYCACGGGTGTACCATATTTTAATATTTATTTTCAACGACGTGTGCGTTATCGAAATCGAGATTAATATTATTTTTGGGGAGTTCTACGCATCAGGACATATAGTGGTGGTGTTTGGAATCAACATAAAAGTCTATTGTAAGGCGCAATTTAATATATATTATTTTCGCCGTCGGAGATAATACGCATATTAATGATAATAATATAATAGTAGTCTGGTGCAGCAGCTGAAGATGCTTTTCGACAAAAAAACAGTGTACACACAATAGAAATCAAGACGAATTTATACATTAAACTGGGCCGCTGTTGCAGATCACGCAGTATAATATTATAAGTAGAGATTGTGGGTATTGCGCGCACGCCATTGTGTTTTTATTTTTTTATTTTTCTCTAAAACCGATTATTATTGTTAGGTGTACCATACGTCTATACATACCTACGGATTGTTTGTGATTTTTTTTTTTATTCGTTTTAATATATTACACGATTATATATCTCTCGGATTGTCCGACAAAAGCACGTGGCATGGCATGTACTGCATATAATATTATAATACACGTAGATACTTAACCATAATACAAGAAGTGTATTTATTTATTTTTCACGCACTCTTCGTCTACCCCCGATGAGTCGTGTCGTCCCACCAATATGATTTTATTATAACGATAACATTAATAATTATTATAATGATACAACCTTCGTGATGATTACCCCGATGGTGCTGGTGAGACATACGACTATATACGTGATGGTGAACCAACAGGTTTCCAGTACTTTAAGTTATGTGTTTATTATGATATCGATGATACGCTTACAATATTATTATTTCAGTCGTAATGGAAAACCAATAGGAATTTGTACTTTAATTTTTTCCTAATATCTACACGAGGAAGCCAATAGATACACGGCTATTGATTTTGCACACGATAGTAAAGTATAATGAAATTTGGTCATCGTAATAAGTATAATAAGTATAACACATTACGCTATGCCGCTATGGGTTCAAATGTGATGAGACGCATAAAATACAAGTTTACAATAACCAAGGATATTACTGTGTAAGGGGAAAATGTAAGTGTATGTTCGTATAAATTATAATATTATTATATTGTAGCTACCAGCCGGAGACGATGCATACTCGCTACAATGGCTGTACCTGAGAAGTGATGTGGTAAAATTACAATTATAATGATCATCCAATATTGTAACTTGTAAGAGTAATAACGAGTAAAACATACACTCTCGGTACACAAAATCACGATCATCGAGCGTATTAAAAATAAAAGGCATGATAATAATATATAATATTCTATTGGAACGGTTTTGTATAATATCATAACTTAATATGGATAATAATATGCTGCTAAATAAAAATAAGACATTTCCTATACGTTCTTACTTACAGCTATAATACATAATAGTTATAAAAAACGACGAATAATATGATACATATKGATGTTATTTACATCACATTATTTATATTTACTTATTGATTTAGTAACTAACACGTAACCATCGGGCTATCAATATAATACTTGCATTGTTTAAGTCTTGGACATAGCAGGAATTAAAAAAAAAACAATAATTGTTTTTGGAACATTAAATGGGAATATTAAAAACTCGATTCTTTCAAAGAGTTGGTGGCAATACTGTTGTATATTATATTTAAATATTTTATACACAAAGACCACGTCGATGCATTTACACTAGTCTCGCACAWTGAGAACCGAGACAATAATTATAGCTACTTCTTAATAGAAGTTAAATATTAGTTTTATAATATGTATACAAGATTTATTGTTGAAATAGTTGTCGTGGTTGTTGTTGTTGTTGTTGTTGTTGTTGTAGTAATTTTTGTTGTTAAATACAGTAAGGGAAAAATGTAAATTATAATATTATCATGTACACTATATATACAGTGTACGTATATACACGAGCACACACACACACGTATATAATACAATCATGTCGACACTCKACATCGCGTACTGATGAAACACCTGTGGTTCAATATATATAAGTATTATTGCAGCATGCAGTACCCCGCTATTGTAAGAAAAAAATTGCTGACCGAATGCCAATTATATATTTATGTTTTGTTTTCTATTTTTTTTTTGTCCAAAACGTTTTTGAACTGCGAAATCATATTTTACAGCGACCGAATGTAACTCCGGAAGGACGTTTGTCTGCGTAATACATAAGTACATATATGGTATTAATTAAGTATTTCGAGTATGTATATGTAATAATTGTACATTTGTGTAATTACCTTGAAACCGCCACCAGTGCCACTATACGGGTAAACATATCGTATACGTATTGCTAATTTAATGGCATAGGTACCGCAGTCTCATCGACAGAGAAATATTCAGATATTTTAACATTGAATTACACATGCTGAAACATTATTATTATGATTTACCGACCGGTCCGCCGCAGCCAACTCGTCGCGTAATAATATGCGYGTTATGAATGTTATGATTATTATAATTTTATGTTGTGGAAAAAACTATTATTTATTTAATTTTTTTGTTATGATGGGTRTTGCAAACATTTATGTACAGACGTAGCTTTGTCTTTGTTCGCCGGGGCTACATGGGGTCACGTTGGAACCCTTTCATCGACTTATGTCGTGTTAACATTTCAACCGACATAACATAATCATAAAAATTGAAATGTCACAATGTACTGGTATAATATAACTATATACGCCGCAATGGTTTTACTATCATTATTCATGTATTAAATAAAAAACTCTCATATAATTTTTTTATCATATAGGCATTGAAAAAGTTTMTATTTTTGCAGTTATCGTTTATTCGCCTATATTGTTGTTTCAGAACCTATTATACTTTCAGTAAACTTTTAGACATAAAGTTTTATCWTATTATAAAAATACGATTTCGATCGCAGAAATGTGTGTATTTAAAGTAGGTAATAACGTAAGTACCTACTGAGTACCTATGTAGATATATACAAGGCGTGTCCAGAAAGTAAGTTCCGTTGGGCAATAAAAACATGTAAATGTGTAAATTTTATTTGAATATAAAATACATGTATTACTCTATTTTTCAACATAGTTACCACCATTATTTAAGCACTTATCATATCGAGGTACTAGTTTTTGTATCCCTTCATCATAGAAAGATGACGCCTGTGATTGTAACCATGCGCTAATAGCCTT